CCCCAAAACCCCAAAACCCCAAAACCCCAAAACCCCGAGAGATAGTTACATATGAAATTTCTAAAATTCAATAAATAATCAAAATATAACAAAAGCAATTTCTAGGTAATATGATGATGCGGCTTCATACCATATATTATTTGGTGTAGTTATTTTTTGTAGCATTTGTCCTTGTATTTTAAGTTTTATCTGCTGGAGTAAATTTAAACTCCATTGCAGATGTATTGTCTGAATAGGATTCGTCTTAATCTTTTTTATTGTCAGAGAAATAATTTTCATTATTTCTAACCATAGCAAAAGTAGTAATCTGATTTTCCAGATACATCTGATTAGTTTTAAATCGCAATAAAGTTCTGACATAAAATCCAAAAAATATTATCAGTAATAAGGCTATTCCTAAATATGAGTATTAATACCAACTCTTGAGATTATCAAGCACTTGCTACTCATGCTCAGTCACACCATTATTAGCCTCATATTAATGAGCTTTTTTATGAGTTTAAATGTATTCAGACTCTGCTTTTCGAATGTTAATAAAACTTATTCCAATTAAACAGGCAATTAATAGACTTATCCCTACAAAGAATATCATTGAATTATTTATAAAACTCTTGGTGTAGAGATCATATCTTTTTTCTAATGTTTTTGCATCATAGTTAGAGATTTCTAGTTACTTCAAAGCAGCTAGGTTTTATCTCATAACTTTAAACCCACTAAATCCAACATAAAATATTGCCAAGTTTGATAGCAGAGTGAAAATAATCTGAACTATATATAGTGGATAGGATAGTTTGATATTGATGCTATTTCCCTCGTCATCATTTTGGTCCCCTATCAATGATACTTGCTTTTAAATAGTTATCAGCAAGAATAATTAGTAAATTGTAATTATGATTGGAAATACGAACATCAGAATTGAGTTGAAATATACATAGCCAGCTTAGAACTTAGTCTAACTAAATTTGAAACTTAATTGCTACAGTATAAACTCCTAAGAATTCAGGAAATCATCTGATAATTTTTCCCTAGAAGAATAAGGATCACTTTTGTTTTGCGAGTCCAATACTACATGAGTTGTACCTACTTCTGAATCTATTTCATCTGGCTAGGCACCAATCTTCAAAGTTTTGGTAGAAGCATCACCCCCTTATTTTGTTTGTTTTATCTTAGCTTTTGAAGTTTTAATATAGCTATGCCTTGATATTGCTGATTTCTATGAGGTAGGAGAATGTGGCGTATACAACCCACTGTTAATATAGGTATCATTAGGGCCATTTCCCTCTTAGGTTTGATCAAGCTATGTGATCTAGCTTTTTCTTGAAAACAGTCCTTGGTGACTCTTTATACTTTGAATACTTGTGTTTCTAAGGTGAAAATTCTATTTGGTGCTAGCGTGGGAAGATAAATATGAATCATTCATGTTTTGATAAGAGTTTTATAATATATTATTTTTTAATAAAATTGTGATGTTTCATAAACTTGTCTTTCTACTATGTAATTTTGAATTACGGGGTTTTGGGGTTTTGGGGTTTTGGGG